GGGAGTTTGACACATCTGGTCGGTAGTCTCTTGGAGGCAGTTGTGAAGCCTACTTAGGGGAATCTTGGGCGCCGTTTTGGTGCCTTTTGGGGCCTCTGTTGGGCCTCTTTGAGGCTTCTTGGAGGCCCGCTGGCGGTCTTGGAGGTCACGTTTGGGCAGACAGTTGAAAATGTCATTTCGAGTTTTGGCTCTAGGGCCGTCATCAGCCGTCTTCAGCGCGTCTTGGGCCGTCTTGGGGCTGTCTTGTCAAGTCTTGGGGTCCTCTTCGGGGTCTGGGGCGATCTTGGGGCGATCTTGGGGACTTTCGGCTCGTCGTGGACGCTCAGAAGTCCAAGAGTCGCACACGTCAACAGTATACGTTTTCCCAGAGGAATGGGACCATGTTTGCCTTTCGGGGCCTTCTTGAGGCCTCTTGAAGCCCTTTTGGGGTGTCTTGGAGACGTCGTGGCCGTCTTGTGTCCATTTCGGGCGTCTTGGAACGGCTTGTTGGCGACTTGGAGCCTCCGGGACCGTCTTGGGGAGCGTCTTGGGGCTCTTTTGGGCGGCCGGGGGCCCTGTGAGAGATATCTGGAGCTGTTGACCCCAGGGGGGTTTGCGAGGGACCGCCCACATATTTGAGGCCCACAGGCGGGAGGGACTTCAAGGAGATTTTGACCAGGCCCTGGCGGATCCTGCCTTGCACTTTGACAGAGTGATCTCGCACGGTCCAACCCGCAGGGCGGGAGCGGCCGAATCAATTAAATATATATATATATATATATATATATATATATATACACACACACACACGAGAACGCCGGCGGGGCATCACCAGCCGCGCCTTGGGAGTCTGATGCATCTGGTCGGGAGTCTCCTGGAGCCTCTTTGAGGGCTCTTGGGCGCCGTTTTGGGACCTCGTGGGGCCTCTGTTGGGCCTACTGGGGGCTTCTTCAAGGCCTGCTGGCGGTCTGGGGGGTCCCGTTTGGGAAGAACGGTGGGACATTACCTTTGAGTTCTGGCTCTAGCCCTCTTGGGGTCGTCATGGGCCGTCTTCGGCGCGTCTTGTCCCGTCTTGGGGCCGTTTTGGCAAGTCTTGGGGGAGGAGGCGGAGAAGGAGGAGGAGGAGAGGAGGAGGAGGAGGAGGGGGAGGCGGAGGAAGAGGAGGAGGAGGGGAGGAGGAGGAGGACGGCAGGAGGAAGAGGAGGAGGTCAAGGAGGAGGAGGAGAGGAGGAGGACTAGGACGAGGACGAGAGGGTGAGCGGGAGGAGGGAGGAGGAGTGAGGAGGAGGAGGAGGAGGAGGAGGGAGGAGGAGGAGGAGGAGGAGGAGGAGGAGGAGGAGGGGGAGGAGGACAGGGCAGAAGGAGGAGGAGGAGGAGGAGGAGGAGGAGGAGGAATGCGCAGAAGCGGGAGGAGGAGTCGGAGGCCCCCCTAACATTAGTGCGTATGGCTGCGTGGATATCGCCGTGGGTGCTTCCCGTGGCAGGCTTCTCGGCAGCGTCTCCGGGTAATTGTTGGAGCTTCTTGGAAGCCGTTTAGGAGACCCTTGGGGCATATGTCGGGTCTCTTGGGGGACTCCTTGGGGCCTCTTGGGGGTCTCTTGCGGCCTCTTGGGGCCTTCTTGGGGCCTCCTGGGGCCCTCCCGGGGCGGAAATGCCAAGTTTTCGGTTCGTGGACTCCATCTTGGGCCTCTCTTGAGACCGTCTTAGGGCCCTTTGGGCCGTCCGGGGCGCCTCTTGGACCGTCTCGGGGCCCTCTTCGGCCGTCTTGGGGGTCTCTTGGGTAGTCATGAGAGCTTCTAGGGCCGTCGTGGGGCGATCTTAGGAGCCTCTTTGTCCGTTTCGGAGCGTTGGAACACCGAAAGGGCGAGAAGGCCAAAAACCTTCAAACACGTTAGACAAATCGTTGATTTGTGTTTCGTGGGGCCCTCTTCGGAGGCCTCTTGGAGGCCTCTTGGGCCGTCTTGGGAGCATCTTGGACCGTCTTGGGGCCATCGTGGGACATCTTGGGACCATCTTGGGCCGTCTTGGGCTCCTGAGGCTCTTTGGGGCCTCTTCGAGCAATCTTGGAGACCTCTCGGGCCGTTCTGGCCGCGCGGTGGCGTCACCATGAGAATCCTGGGGTGGCCAGGAGCAGACAGGTGGTGGCGCGGCGGGCCCCCTAGCAGACAGTAAGCAGGAGGCAGGAAACAGGACTGGAGAGACAAAATGCCAAACAACAAAGGACAGCACATAACACATGACAGCAGACCGCACACACCTTCGCAGCCTTGCGCCCCTGGAGGGGGCCGGCGGACAAATATTTGATACATACACATATATACATATATATACACATATATACATTTACATACACACGTATCCACACATATCAAAACCCTGCTGTGTGTTGGGTCCTCGTTTTGAATTCGCGCGGCGCGTCTTCTCCCCCTCCCTCCGCTTCTGTTCTTCCCCCCTCTTCCTCGTCCGTCGTAAGCATCATCGCATGCATTCTCGTTACTGCCATCGTCATTCAGCTCACCGTTTCGTCACACATCTCACGCGCGTCGTGGTCTCATAGGGAACTCCACCGAAGGCCCATGTTGCAAAGTCCGCATGGTTACTCGGGTCCATTATGGTACACCCCTCACACTTGCCTCTGCCCCATTGGGACCTCCGCCGCAGGCCTCTGTGGCAGGGTCCATATAGTTACTCGGGTCCATTCCGGCACACCCTTCACATAATTCGTAGCCTTCTTCGGTGCTCCACCAAAGGCCCCAGTGGCAGGGTCCACATGGTTTGTTCGGGTCCACTCTGGTGCACACTTCACACGCTTCGCGGCCCCATGAAGATCTCCACCGAAGGCCTCTGTGGCAGGGTCCGCATGGTTGTTCGGGTCCAGTCTGGTTCACCCCTCACATGCTTCCGGACCCCATAGGGGTCTACGCCGAAGGCACCAGCGGCCGGGTTGGTATATTTACTCGGTTCCATTCTGGTACTCCCCTCACACGTGTGGTGGCCCCGTAGGGAGTTTTGCCGAAGGCCTCTTTTGCAGGTTTTTGCATTGTTTCTCCCGTCCATTCTAGCACACCCCTCACACGTTTCGTGGCCCAGTGACGACATCATGAGCTCCACCGAAGGCCCCAGTGGCAGGGTCCGCATGGTTTACTCGGGTCCACTCTGGTGCACACTTCACACGCTTCGCGGCCCCATGAAGATCTCCACCGAAGGCCTCTGTGGCAGGGTCCGCATGGTTGTTCGGATCCAGTCTGGTTCACCCCTCACATGCTTCCGGACCCCATAGGGGTCTACGCCGAAGGCACCAGCGGCAGGGTCGGAATAGTTACTCGGTTCCATTCTGGTACACCCCTCACGCGTGTGGTGGTTCCGTAGGGTGCTCTGCCGAAGGCCTCTTTTGCCAGGTTTTGCATGGTTTCTCCCGTTCATTCTAGCACGCCCCTCACACGTTTCGTGGCCCAGCGGCGACATAAGGAGCTCCACCGAAGGCCCCAGAGGCAGGGTCCGCATGGTTTACTCGGGTCCACTCTGGTACACACCTCACACGCTTCGTGGCCCCATGAAGATCTCCACCGAAGGCCTCTGTGGCAGGGTCCGCATGGTTGTTCGGGTCCAGTCTGGTTCACCCCTCACATGCTTCCGGGCCCCATAGGGGTCTACGCCGAAGGCTCCAGCGGCAGGGTCGGAATAGTTACTCGGTTCCATTCTGGCACACCCCTCGCACGTTCCGTGGCTCCGTAGGGAGCTCCGCCGATGGCCTCTTTTGCATGGTCTACATGATTTCTCCCGTCCAGTCTGGCTCATCCCTTACACGTTTCATGGCCCCATAGCTAGCTCCACCGACGGTCCCAGTGGCAGGGCCCGCAAGCGTATGCTAAGGAGCTAAGGGCTGGAGTCGCGCAGCTAGTCTTCGAGGTTCCTTCGTGCTGCGGCGCCTGAACTTGCCAGGGAGTCATGAGCTCCTGGCGCACGCGCGCCGGCCCCTGCCTGGACTTCCGCGCGCTACGCTCGAGCTGTTAGTCGTGCCTCCGTGTATCCGTCATCCTGCTTTCTCTGCCCCTGCCCTCGTGCTCCGTGCCGTGTACATCGTCACGCTCCCTCCCGTGTGTGATTTGAGTCGTGCGTGTGAGCGCCGAGCCTGGTTCTCCTGCAAAGTTTCCAGGGGCATTGCAGAAGCCCCCAAGGAGTTCTTCTTGTGCGTTGACGGGTCTTGATGATAGCTCCCGCGCACGTAGAGCGGGTTGGGCTCTTCGTCAGGGTAAGCTATGTTCAACGCACGGCCCTGGAGGTCCCGATCCTTTCCCCGGGGCGAACCTTCCGCCCCGGACACGCTGCTTTTGATAGCCCCGTGATCCAATCGCTGGCCCGGGGGGCCGAGCTCGAGGAGCAGCGCCCAGAACACAGACGCATCGCCGGAAGCGTGGGCCGCCGCCCAATGCTCAGCGGGCGAAGCACGGTGTACTCGGCATACGTTTCGGCGGCTTGAAAGTTGATGCCCTTTTTCTAGGCCCCCTCCTCCTCCTCCTCCTCCTCCTCCTCCTCCTCCTCCTCCTCCTCCCTGATTCGAACGTGCTGGTTGGCCACTACCAGATTGCCCTGTACACGTGGCCCAAAAATCAACCTCAGTCGACTAGAGGCCTCCCAGATGGGGTCGGAGTAGGTGGGGTCGGAGGATCGCGCCGCATCGCCGATGCATCGGCGATGCATCGGCGATGCGGCTCGATGCGGAGCCCGATTTGTTTCACGTCGACGTCGCGGATGAATCGCCGACGTCGCCAGTGCATGGCCGCTGCATCGCCGATGCATCGGCGATGCATCGCCGATGTATCGGCGATGCGGCGAGATCTTCCGACCCCATCTGCTCGGACCCCATCTAGGAGGCCTCTACTTACGAGGCACCCTAGGAGTATAAATGCTGTAGCCGCCCAGGGGACAGGCCCCCGACGGCAGCAACGTTAGTTTTTGTATCGATGCTCGCCCCCCAAAGGTTCATCCAGATCAGGGGGCCGCCCCGCGCCTGCCGCGCGATGGCGCCTCCCACCCCTGCCCGCGCCCGGCCCTCCTTGCTCGTCGCCGCCGCGGGCGCCGCGCTGGCCGCCAACGCCGCGTCCTCGGACACGCCCGGCTCGGGTTTCCGCGTGGTGGGCCGCGGCGGCTGCCGCACGACGTCCGGGGGACCCCGCGGCTGCTAAGCGTCCTTGGCCTTTGAGGCGTCGAGGCTCGAGGCTTCCGGGTGTGCTCGTCGGGTGCCGAGGGTCTTCCGGTTCCATGGTGGGTGCTTCCCAGCAGCTGCGCCACGCCGGCGGCATCCAGGGGGGAACCCGGATTGCCCCGACGGGCCGCCGGAGGCCCAAGTCATGGACCGAACGCTGACATCCTCGCGCCGTGGATCTCACGGCGGAAAGTCTTTGACTGTTTTCGGCCTTTGGTGGCCGCTGCCAGGCCCCATGGCCGTCCAGAAACGACTCGTGATGAAAAGCCTGTCCGGAGAAGGGGTCCAGAGCTGTACTGCTTCGTTCCCCCAGAGTGGGCCGGAGCAGACGGGGTCGGAGGTCGGAGGATCGCCCTGCCTTGCAGCTGCAACAGCGATGGTCTGTCCGAGGCTAGGGTGTATCCATATCCAGGTTCCAGCGCCCCGGATGCCGACCTCCCTGGACCTCAGGAGGCGGTGGACACCTCCAGGCCCCTTGGAGCCCAGAATTACAATATCCACCGCCCCCTGGGTTTCCATGAGAGGTGTCCCAATGTCACCCCAAGAATCCCAGACCCCCTCGGGTCATGAATAAAAATCACGACGGTCGTTTTTGCGGGCTATGTTCGGCTTCGGGGGGCCCTTATACAGGCCCTCGGGATCGCCCAAAAACAACTAAGGATAGGAAACCAGTTCCAGGGGAAGGGTCCCATACATACACGGGGCCCCTGGAAGTCCCGACCCTTTCTCCGGGACGGGTGTTTCATCCTGAGTCGCTTTTTGACGGTCCCGAAGCCCGGCGAGTGTTTCATCCCAGGGGCCGAAATCGACCAATAATCTCCCGCCCTAATTTTTTCACGACGCGGCCGTGCCTGGGGTCGAGACCCCTGGGAGTGGACGTTATGAAAAGATCATGAGCTTGTCGATCGAGGCCAATCGAGTCGAGGATCGACTACAGAATTGATTTACCCCCAACTTTTTTTCCCCGCCGAATGCAGAGAAACACGACGTAGAACGATCGTAGATCCGCGGAACATTACATTTGTTTATGGTGCATTCGGCGGGGAACTCCAGTTTGGGGTGAATCAGTTCTGTAGTCGATCCCCTACTCGAGCCATGCCTTCCTCCCGGCGGCGCCTCTCTAGGGCCGCCCCGGGCGGCGCTCCCCGCGCGCCTGCTTCGGGTGGGGGGGGGGGTCCAGCGCCGACCTCCTAAGAAAGGCTACGTCTGCGCAAGTTCGCTAACCCCATGGGTCGGGCCGAACGAAAGGGGGAGATAGGGAAAGGGGTGGTTGCGAAATTTGCTGCATGCAGCTGGTTTCAGCCCCACCGAGGGGCCCATTCATCGACACATTGCCGCCTCTTGCTGGAAAATCAGCTACGTGAGCTGATTCTCACCCCCCCCTTTGCTATCCCCCCTTTCGCCCGGCCCGAATGGGACGCGCAAAGGCATACTAGTATTTATGTTCTCCTTGGAGGCGCGCGTCCGACCCGAACATACAGCATACCCATCTTGTAGTAGATCGTTTCCCGATTGTGGCCAGAAAGCGCCCTCCACACGCGTCTACTACAAGATTTCTCGGCGCGCGCGTCGCCCCTGGGGGGGCGACTCAAATGTAGTATGAGTATGTTGGGGTGACGCCGATCCCAGACCCCCGACGTCATGATTTGCTCATAGCGTCGACCCCCAGGGGTCTCGACCCTTTCTCGGGGACCGGCTTCTCGCCCTGAGTCGTTCTTTGACGGTCCCCAGTGCCAGTCAGGGCCCCCAGAGGCCGAGAATAGCCAAAAACCGATTGTCGTGATTTTTGTTCATGACCCGAGGGGGGCTGGGATTCTTGGAGCGACATTCGGACACCTCTCCTGGAAACCCAGAGGGCGGTGGATACCGTAATTCTGGGCCCCAAGGGGCCCCGTGTCCGTCGCCGCATGTGTTTCTCCTTCCAGTCGTCGCCTGCCGTCGGTGTCTTGGCCTTCTGTGGTTGTCTGTCTTCCTCGTCGCCGCGGCTGAGATCCCCTCAGGCATCTGGCCCGGACGCACCACCCTTGGAGAGGGCCCTGGCTCGATCTTTTGAGGAGAGAGGAGGGGAGGATGAGCGGGGGGTGAGGAGGAGGACCCAGGTCTCATTACGCCTTCCATCAAAGACATTCGACACCTATGATCCAGGGCTCCACCCCCCCCCTTCAAATGCTGATGGGATCAGCTCCCCCTCCCCTGCGCGATGGGTCACTTCTCCCCCTGCTGTCGAGGCCCTGGTAGAGTGGTCGTCGCCGTCCGTCGTCGTCGCGTCCCCCCTCCATTCCATCAGGCGGGGGGGGGGGCCTGTGAGCCCTGTGGCTCATCCCTTCTCGGGGGTACCCTGTGAACCCTCGACCCTAGACCATATGTTTCAATATCTTGGTGTCTGGGGACACCAGCAAGGCCCCAGGGCTGTGAAGAGCCCAATCTGGATGCAGCGGCAGTCCAGGGGGAGGGTTCGAGAGTTCCGTGTGGGTCTGGTTCATGCTGGGAGATCACATGGAGACGCCGTTTCGGATGCATATCCGGAGGGTCTCGTCGGTACGGCAGGACGCTGCCTGGTTGGACCGATAATTTTTCTGACGTTGTCTGCCCAATGTGTGTGTGTTGCCCCAGTGAGTTCCGCAGGTCTGTTTCAGCCCTAACTTTGACCGTCTGCGTCGCATCGAAGGGCGCACACGTTGGCGCCGACACGCGTTCTGAAGATCATGCAGTGGCTGGACCCCCTGAAAGGGTCCGGGGCATTGACTTCGAGCGGAGTCCAGTCGTTCTACAGTCGGGGCCCTGAAGAAGGAACCCTCTTGGTTGGGGAGGGGCTCCGCGTTCCTTAAGTGTTTCGCAGCTTGCCTCAGGGTTCCCTTATGTTTTCGACAGGAAATCGAAGGTTAACTTATGGAAAAGAGGGGCCTCGTCCTTATTTAGGGTTCCTCAGGTCAAGGCCCCGACTGTATAGTTGGCCCCTCCTTTCGGGGCGCGGTGAGGAAGCAATCATTGGCATTCCGTTTCGCCCTCCGTTGCAGGCCCACGCGGAGCGGTTTTTCCCACGGCAGGATAGGGGCAGCTGTGTCGCGAAGATGCATTTGTTCGCGATCCGTGGTTATTTCCACTGGGCGGAGATGGCCTCCGATCTCATCAAGAAAGTGTCAGCACTTTCTACGGGCCAACTTAGGAGGCCCAAGAATTGCCCGAGGAGTCCTGAAAACTGCCACCACCAAGGTCGGGGCTGTCGCCCCCTCGGTCCGATCAGGGTGCCGACTTGGCGCGACAGCCCCGTCGTCGATCATGTCGCCCTCGTCGATGATTTCGGCGACGTCGACGTCGATGTCGTCGTCAGCGCCTCCGACGGCATTGAGGTTACACGCTGCAAGCAGGACCACGTTGGACTAAGGACGGGCCCAGACCCCCGACGTCATGATTTGCTCACAGCGTGGACCCCTGTAGGTCTCGACCCATTCCCCGGGACTACAGGCGGCCTGGATTGGTAGGTCGACCCTGCCAAATCGAGGGTACCCTCGTGTCTTGTGTCTTGCGACCTACGCCTCCTACATTTCTGTGGCAATGTGGCCCTCGGAAGGGTCTTGCGTGCTCTCGCTTGTCCTGTCCAATCAAGTCCGAATGTAGTTGTTCGTCCTGAGTCGTTGTTTGATGGACCCGAGGCCTGGTGTGGGCCTCCAGAGGCCGAACACAGCGAAAAAAATCGCGTCGTGATTCTTGGGGTATATCTATATAGATTCATTCGCATTCTTATCAGTATTATAATCGTTATTGTTATTGTTATACAGATATATCTGAGATCAGTTTGCCAGTGTGTCTGGGGGTTGTGGTTTTTGGGCCGTTCCCTTGCTGTAGGTCGGGGGGTCTATGCGTGGCCGAGGCACGCCGCGACCAGAAAAGCAGCCAACCCGTTTCCTGTGCAGTTTTCTTTTCTGGGACAGCACGACGATAGCAGGCCTTGTGCGGTCTCGCTCGCAGGAAATGTTCCATGGGCCACCGCGGGGGCCCGACTACCCTTCGCCACCGGGATCGGGATCGGGGTCGGGCCCCCTCGGTTGTTTGTACCTTCCTGTCCCTCCTGCTCGGCCTCTTCCTTCTCCTCCTCCTGCCCCTCCTCCTCCTGCTCCTCCTACTCCTCATCCTCCCCCTCGTGCTCCCTCATCTTGCCGCCTCCCTCCTCCCTCCCCTCCTGTTCCTCCTCCTGCCTTTTCCCTGCTCGCTCAGAGGATGTTAAGTGCTGACTGTGCGGCGTTTGGCCATCGGTGATACACACGTGCGCCTTGTCATTCTCCTCCACGCACCGCCTAGGTGTCTGATATGCCGCCCGTCCCCCTGGGTGGAGGTTGTTCGCGATCAGGGCTTGGCCTAAAAGCTGTTTTGCTGGACTTCGGTTGTGTTTTGTGCGCAGTTAGAGCAAAACGCAAAACAAAACAAAACGACAGCAAAACGAAAAACCACCGTGTAGGTGTAGCCCTGTTCGCGATCGTGGTGGTGGTGCCGACCTTTGCACGACAGCGCCGGCGTCGATGACGTCGTCGTCGTCGCGGTCGATGTCGTCGCGGGCGTCGTCGACGGTCGATGTGAGACGGGCCTGCTTGCAAGTGCCCCAGGGAAGTTTCCTGCCCCCGAGCGCCCTGCAGCCCACAGCAGGGGCCCCCAGCACACCTTGCGAGGCCCACGGGGCACGGCGACAAGAGGGACCTGGACTTTGGTCCTCCAGGGCTCGCTAGGGTTAGTCGGGCGTGTCCCTCTGCAGGAGGAATCTTTGAAAGTAGCCAGAAAATCATGGGGGACGATTTGATTATATGTGAGAATTGTTTATGTTGTTTGTGATGTATTTTTCCGCCTAAAATCCTCCTGTAGGAGGACACGCCCGACCTGACGCTAGGGACTGGTTCCCCCCCCCAAAGCGATGAAAATCCTTACAAGATCTTCCCGAATCCCTCCGAGAAAGCCTTGCGGTGGAACCTTTCCCAGAGTGTCTTCGGAGGGTTTCGGGAGGGTTTCGGCCGTGTTGAAAGGAAACCAGCCCCTAGCGAACCTTGGACCTTGCAACCCCAGACTTCTTGCAGGAAGGCTTCCTATGTCTGCTGTCCCAGGCCTCCGACGCTATGACTGCGAAGGCCCTGCGGCTGGTGCCGCCGACACCGGAGGCGGGACACCCTCGGGACCCCCGCTGGCGCCTCCCCTTGGGGCCCGCCAGGACCTTGAGGGCGGTATTCTGACCCGCCGGGACCCCCCCTCAAACTCCGCCCCACCCACCATTTCCAAGACCCTCCCGCCCCCCCCTCGGCAGGGAAGGGATTCGACTCAGCTGCGACGTTCCTGTGCCTTCTTCCGCAATGTCCTTGGGGCTGACGACGACGAAGACCATGACGCCGACGACGACGACGACGACGACGACGACGACGACAGCGTTTTTCACACGCCGAAGGGTCGCGGATTTATGTTCCTGGTCTGGACCCTATTCCGTGTCGTTTTGTGATTGTCTTGGTGCCCAGCGAGTGCTTTCTGGGGTCGCAAATTCTCAAAACGAATCCGCCGTGATTGTTCACGACACGAGGTGGTCTGGGGTAATTCGCCGATGTCGTCGATGTCGCCATTGTTGTCGTCGTCGCCCTCGCAGGATCCGGCACCAACACCATCGCGGACAACGCGACGACCGCCGCGGAATGCCAGGATTTCTGTGCGAAGGACCAGGCTTGTGTGGCCTTCGAGGTCAGATACGCGGTCGATGAGGCCACGTTCAACCCCGGCCTGCTGATTGGCGGCTCATGCGAGATACACACGGAGGTTCGGGGGCGTCCCTTGAGATCGGGCGTTGCATTTTGTTCACTTGGGTTTTATCGCCCGGTGTCTGGCCCCGGGACCATCACAGATTTACGCGGGCCGGAAAATGCGGCAGAGAGATTCCGTCTAGGGCTCTGGCCGTGATTTCCCGCGATGTTGCATTTTCGGCGCAACGCCAGACATCAGGTGGCCGAGGATCCAGGGGTGTGGTGCGGACATGGAATCCCCCAGATCCCGTGGCCCCCTCTGGCCGCGATGCGCCACCCCCCCCCGTCTCTTCCGCCCCGCGTCCTCCTCCGGCGTGGCCCGCCTATATCGCCACCCGCCAAACCACCCCAACCCAACGTGAAGCCCTCAATTTGCCTTCCATTTCCAGTGGGGGGGGGGTCGGGGAACGTTGAAGCAGCACATGGAATCCGTACCCCCCCCCAACCCGAAACTCGGGTCAAGTTCGGGCCTTCGGGCTGGGTTGGGGTGGTCTGGTAGGTAGCCACTGTATCGGGGGAGCGTAAGACCCGGGTTTGCCAGGACTCGGGTTCGCCATCGTTTTTTGACGACCGCGATTCGGATTTTGACGAGTAGGAGTTTCGTGGGATGTCTGCAGCGGGAGGCCTCGTCAAAATGCAGGCTCGGCCTCGTCATTTTTTTGACGACCTCGTCGGGGATTTCCGAGTCCCCTGTACCCAGGTCTTACGTCCCCCCGACTGTAGGCGATCATGGACGCCGCGGGGGGGGATGAGCCTGTGGAGTGCTGGGTCAAGGAGGGCAACGCCCGCAAGGGCGAGTACGGGCTCCTCGGCACGGGGGAGCGTAAGACCCGGGTTTGCCGGGACCCGGGTTCGCCATCGTTTTTTGACGACCGCGCCTCGGATTTTGACGAGGAGGAGCTTCGTGGGATGTCTGCAGCGGGAGGCCTCGTCAAAATGCAGGCTCGGCCTCGTCATTTTTTTGACGACCTCGTCGGGGATTTCCGAGTCCCCCGTACCCGGGTCTTACGTCTCCCCGATCGGCACGGGCTACTGCGTCCCGGCCAGCCTGGAGCGCGTGGCGTCGGACGCCTGGGACCTCGCAGTGCCCAGCCCGTCGCGGGTGCTGCCCGGGGTGCTCCTGCACCAGCGTTGGCAAGGGCTCCCTCGAGGGCGCGAAGTTATTCGCGCTTCGCGGTCCTCGTTCCTCCTCCCCCTCCTCCTCGTCCTCCTATTCTCCCTTTGGGAGGGCGGCGCGAGAGCGCGAAGTTATTCGCACTTCGCGCTTCGCGCAGCGCGAAGCGCGAAGTTGGGAGCCCTTGGTTGGCATGCGACCGCTCTCTTACTCATTCTTGTTGCCAGTCGGCGCGGGCCCTCGCCCCCCCCGCTCCCCCCCCCCCCGTGGAGTATATCTTGGCTGTTTCGGCGCCTGCTTCGAGCAGGTGGGGTCCCCTCCAGCTGCAAACAGTCGCATTAAGCAGAGATCCGGAGCCAGACCACCCCTCTCCCCCCCGTTCCGCCCACTGTCGAAACGCCGACTAAGAAAACGTTCACCACCACCTCATATCTTGGTACTGGTCGTGACGATTTTGTCAAGTTTCTGGGTGTCCTCGCTGTGGGCCTGTCAATCTTCGGGGCATGGACGGTTTCGAGGCTGGTGGTCCCTGGCCCAAGGTGTCCCCAGGATGCGCAGAAGAAAGAGCGATGTGAACATACATGTTCTGAGGTCTTCACGGGTTTCTCGATGTGCGTTGGGCCCCTGCGGCGGCGCCCCCTGCGCCGCACCTGGCGCGCTCCGCGCGCCAGGGAGTTGGGCCCAGCGCCGATCCAAGAGACCGGCGCGGGCCTTCGAAGGCTCATGCTTATGAAGGTTCTTCTTATTATTATCATTATTCCTCTCCTTTTTATTATTATGATTTTTCTTGCTCTTTTTCTTCCAAGGTTCTCCTGGGAGGTCCAAAGTGGCCCCCAGAGCGCCCCTGGCGAGGCCCAGAGGGGGCCGCAGAGGGCTCCAGCATCTGCGCAGAAGGCTGGGGGGCATCCTGGACAGGGGGCACCCCTGGGAGCAGCCGATCGTCTCTGCAGCACTACCAGTGCCGCACAGCGTGCGACATGGAGGTTGCCTGCACGGCCTACGAGCTCAGGCAGGTCGGCGACGAGAAGGCAGGGCGACAAGATCCCCAGCCATCCCCGTCGTGCCGAAACATACGCGGCGCGGCACACCAAAGTGAGAGTGAGGGCGCGGGGTAGGTCGCGGGTGGATCGCGGGTTGGTCGCGGTTTGGGTCGAGGGGTGGGTCGCGGGTGTGTCGCGGGCGAGGACGACGACAACAACAACCACAATAACAACCAATTCAACAACAACAACAACAGCACCGACTATCGACCAACAACATCAAAACTAACCGTAACAGCAATACCAACAACAACAGCAACAGCAACAACAATCACACCATCAACGATAACAATACTTTTTGTTTCGACGACTACTACTACCACTACTACTACTACTACTATTACTACTACTACTACCACTACTACTACTACTACTACTACTACTACTACTGCTACGACTACGATTGCTACGACCATTACTACTACGATTGCTAATACTATTATTATTCCTCTTCTTCCTACTACTACTACTACTACTACTACTACTACTACGACTACGACTACTACTACTACTACTACTACTACTACTACTACTACTACGACTACTACGGCTACTACTATTTCTGTTCCTACTACTACTACTACTACTACTACCACTACTACTACTACTACTACTACTACTACTACTACTATTACTACTACTACTACTACTATTACTACTACTACCACTACTACTACTACTACTACTACTACTACTACTACTACTACTACTGCTACTACTACTACCACGCCAACTTTAACCACAACTGCAACCACATCTACATCTACATCCACATCAACAACACGTATATGTTTAAGACTGGTCGCTCATATTTGTTCGCGTGCCACTCATCGGTATACCCCAGACCCTCGATACACGCCTTCTCCGTCTTCGAGCGTTCCCCCTTAGGGGTATATCTTTCTTACTTGCAACGTCTATTTCGTGCAACCCCCTAAGGTAGTTGACGAGAGGACGGGCTGCAGGACAGGATCAGGGAAAGGCGGTTTGCTGAATTGTTCTACGACTCGCGAGGACGTCTCGAGCGATAGTGCGATTCACAAATGGATCATGAGGAAATCAACAGCGACAGAGTGATTCCTGAGTGTCGAGGGCACGGCGTCTGAAGCGAATGCGAGGAAGTCCCACGCGAGAACACTTTTCCTGTATAAGTTGATGGAACACCCGCGCGAGACCGCGATTTTATAATCAATTGTGGGGACGTGTCAAGCTGGAGCCGTTCTTGTTGTTGATATTGTTGTAATGCGGGGCCCAGCAACGCATTTTGGTGACCTCTCGCTTTCCCTTCGTGCAAAACGGGGTGCACACACTGGTAGAAGCACTTTTGTTGAGCAGTGCAATGATCACCGTACAGGGGCATCAATAGTAGAAAGGAGGATACAACATCAACGACATCAGCAGCAATCATTCGATTCGAGTGCTCGATGAGTCAACATCAGTATGGCACCCGTCATGATAATTGCCCTATCATGGGGCATGATTCCGGTAGTCCTGTACCCAGATTCCCCGCCCAAGGGGGTTTTGCCAGCATTTCCTTCCGAGGAACTTCAAGATCTGCGACTTGGATGGCACAGCGTTGTCGCAATAGCGTTGTCCATGCCTTGCACTTCGGAAGGGGAAGCGGCGGAGGAAAGGGAAGAACGAATGATAAACAAAAGGGGAGGCAGGAGGGAGACGCATGATCACGGAGCGCAAGGGGGAGGAGGAGGAGGAGGAGGAGGAGGAGGAGGAGGAGGAGGAGGAGGAGGAGAAGGAGGAGGAGGAGGAGGAGGAGGAGGAGGAGGAGGAGGATGAGGAGGATGAGGAGGAGGAGGAGGAGGAGGAGGACGAAAAGGGGGACGAGGAGGAGGAGGTGGAACAACAGGAAGATAAACGAACATTCGCCTGGCGAATTGCCCGACCATATGCAGTTGTGGCGCCGCGATTGTGAATCTCTTCCTCGGTGGCGCTCCCTATGGGGCCACGAACCGTATGAGTGGTGCGCCGAATTGCGTGGCGTGGTACACAGCACGAACGAAGACGATAGGTCGAATTACGAGAGATTGAGCGCGGGTAAGTCTGAGCGCGAGTGGGTCTGAGCGTAACTGAGTTTACGCGCGAGTGTGTAGACTTGCATGAATGCGAGCATGGCCGCGCCTGGTGTGTGTTTATACAGACATGTTTACGAATGTGAATGATTCACGTATGCCTGACCCTGGAACCCCGACAGCAGCGCCCGCGCGCCGCGACGCCCATGCCGGCACGCTCCTCACGAGGATCCGCCCGTACACGCCCATGTCCAAGGCTGCGGGCGCGGCGCCGCGCGGAGTTCCCGCGACGCGCGTTGGTCGCCCCGGAGGGGTCCCGGCTTTGCGCGCGGGTCGTTTGGTGCGTGGAGCAGAGAGAATTAGCTGGCTGGCTGATAGCGGTCAAGGCTGTGGCCGCTGGGCAGAGCGACGACGGGGGCGAGCGAGGCTTTGGGCAGAGCGCAGCGCGGAATTCCCGCGACGCGCGGTGGTCGCCCCAAGAGGGCCCCACCGACGCGCGCGGGTCGCCCGCGGCGCGAAGCCACACAGTCTGACCGTCGAGAAACGGCGAGGCTCGGGCGGGCCGCTCCTCAGGTCAAGCCTGGCGGATAAACTCGGTGAAGCTCAGCTCCCTTGCGAGGGCCGCCGCCTCCCTCCTGCACCGCTTCGCGCGCGTGACGAACTGCTCCAGCTGCTTCCGCAAGCCCTCGGGCGGCCCTGCCAGGAAGAACTCGATGCGCGGCGCCCGCATGAGCAGGCGGTCTTCGTGGCGCGTGGCGCGCGAGAGCAGCGCGTAGAGCTCCATCCGCCAGTCGTCGTCCTCCTTCTTGCCGTTCTCCACGTCGTGGCGGCCGCAGTC